TTATTGCATTAATAAAAAAAATATAATTTAAGCAAAAATTGTGGTGGTTTTGTACTTCAGTAATTGTATGCAAACGTATATTTTTTGTGAACTTAGTTATAAATATATGATGCTTAATATTCGAAAAAATTTTGTAACTTCCTCTAATTTTCGATTCCCTAGTCTGAACATGTATTTTTCGGTATGTAATCCGACGCATAGATATTAAAAAATTATCTATTAAAAAATTATTTATGAAGCATATTTGAAAAAAAATTATCTTTGCCATTGATATAAAGTTAAAATTTAAAAAAGCTAAAGCAAAAAAAAAAAAAAAAAAAAAAAAAAAAAGAAGAAGAAAAAAAAGGGTTTTCTTTTTAGTAAATATTTTTGGAAGCATTGAAATTAAAATTACAAAATTAATCAGAGGACAAAATTTATCAAACTGTTTCTTCGCTTTCGGGTTTTATATACTTCAAAGAGATTTGCATTCATTTTTCTCGAACCGATTTCCCTTTTTTTATCTAATTGCTTAATTTTTATAAACGTAACAATTGGAAAGCCGAAATTTAACATCTCAGAAATGTTTGGAATCAGCATGTAAAAAAGTTTTATAGTCAAACTCAGAACACTTTCACAGTTAAGACAAGATAATTAAATATTCAAAACAAAACATTACATCAAATCAAGATTGGTAAAATCAGGCATTTGAAACGGTGAAATTAAGGAATACCATTTTCTTAATTTATTAGAAACATAATTATTCATTGTTTATTTTCTTCGTTAATGTTTGATATTTAGTCTTAATATAATCACTCTTTTGAAGCCTGCTTGCATCTAAGTGCATATCAAATGGATATCAAGCTCCTAGCGCAAATGAATATCGACATTGCTAACACTTGAAACGTCGTTGCACCTTGCACCCTGCACCTTGAGGAAGGCAAAACTTATTGAATAAGCAATAAATAAGTAATAAGATATCATAAAAATGATATCAAAAGTCGTTAAAGAAACTGATGGAAGAATAATAAATATTGTTTTATGCAGGCGATTTTCTTTAATAGCGAAACAAAAGCGAAAATTCTTTATCTCTGATTTGTTAGAGGCATGTCAGCAAAAGATGCTCCATTTTCAGTCGTCCAATCAAATATAATGTTCTTGTTACACCGTATTGTTGAATGTTCTCCTTATTTATAAAAATATGTCTCTAAGTCTAAGTTTCAAGTAAAATTACGAAGTTGTAACCTTATTTAAGTATTTCTATGTTATATATCGTAAAAGGTAGCATGAATTAAATTTCTGTCCGACGTGTTTAACTTTTAAAAGCTTTCGCATGGTCTTTAAAGCATATTTGTACAATTTGATTACGAAATAAAATTGAACTGTATGCAGTTGTTGAAGATTACTTAGATTCTATACTGCGATGGTCTTTTCTTAACTTGCAACGGAGTAGGTATATAGTAAAAAGTACCCCCACAGTTTATTTTCGTGTTTCATGGTTAATCTTATGCAATTAATATTAATGTAATTAGTGTTAAAACTTTATTCTATTTATTTATATTATGAATACTTCAGATAAAATTTGAAATTATTTTTAATATCACTTCCGAGTCACCATGAATGTTGCGAGACTCTATCAGAAAGCTCAATATTCTGTCGTTCGCAACTTAGCTTAGTTAAAATAAAAATTTTGTCACCATTTTACTCACAAAAGAAAACATATCACTTTTATTTATACAAATTGCTCCATCATATCGTCATAGAAAACTGAAATGCACATCGTTTTCCTTTAAAATAGAACTATACAAATCCAGCTTATAGCTCAGATACAATTAAATCACAAATATATAAAATCTTCTTTTAACAGTTAGTAATGATAATGAATAACAATTCATTAAAGATGGCAATCATTACGTACAAGTAACAAAATATGATAATAAACTTAAATATTAATGGAGCATTACCTTTTTAAAGAAACTTAAGAGTTTTAATTTAAGAGTTTTTTTTTAATTAAAAGTAATTCACAATAACAGTAAAAATCACATTTGAAAGATTTATTTTAGCATTTTTATTTTATTTATTACATGCAGATTTATTTAGAATTTTCCTTTAAAAGTCACTGTAACTGTACAAATTATTTATCACTGAGAAAAATTTTGATATTTATTTTATGGCACACGATTTAATCATTTCCTCACGCAATTATTTCCTTTTAAATGCGCTGTCTTTGTCATTACAGTAGTATGCAGAACTTCTTATAAGAGAGCACTCTACCAGCTGATAAAATGTCTTTACATAAAACATTTACTTGTACCTTTGTGTTATTTGCAATGTTATTGCTTTCAAGTAAGTTAAACTCTTTTTTTTATTACATTAATTATATTTAAATCAATAAATTAATAATAGTTTTTGAGGTTTTTTTTTGCATTTTGTAAAAAATTAAATAAAAAGATGAGTTGGGCAATCCATGCTAATACGAGACAATAATCGATACTTTCACTGCTATTTTTTATGTATTAAATTTGGTCAATGCAGATGGTTTTTAAAAAAATTATGAATTTTGTTCTTATTTTACCTATTCATTTATGGTGTGAAAAAGATCGAGTTTCTCAAAATAAATCAATAAATAAAATTATAAATAAAATAATAATAATGATAAATAAATAGTAAAATAATAATAAAGAATAATCTAAATAAATAAAATTAATAATATAAATATATAATAAAAATAAATAAAATGAATAATATAATTTCTCATATTAGAAACGTTTAATAAGGCAAATTTGAGGCATCTGCGATTCTCTATTATAGAGTGCTTGGGGAGCTCTGTATTAAAGGAGTAAGTGTTTTAATTACAAAAAAAAAATTTTAAAAACTACGTTTTATTAGTAAACTAAAAAGGAGGGCATAATTTTAATTTTATCAGACTTAAAAAAGAAAACGTAAAAAATCATAACTTTCGTTATGAAATTATGTTTATTTCAATCGTTCCTAAAATTAGTTAAATAAAAATAGTTTATACAATGTATAATCTGTACTAACGTTAACTTAGGAATGCAGTACAATGAGAGATCTGTACTAATTTGAGCACACTAGTTTGTCGGAAAAATTTCAATATTTTGAATACGATAAATTTGTTTGGTTAAAACTGCGATTAGGAAACGCAGTGATTAGGAAACGATTGAAATTGGCGCACAATTCCAGTAGAGATTTGAGAACTGCAGCTTGTTGTTTAAAAGGTCCAATAGTTTAAAAGGATTAAAAGTGTAACAAGAAATAGAGAATTACTTCTTACTTCTTTTTATAAGTATAAATTAATTAATTAGCGGGCATAAGAATATAGATTAGCGTATAATTTGCAGATAACATGTCATGAATTGTCTGAATGTTTTAATATCCATCATCTTCATTATTGTCTTTCATTTACAGAATGCCCACCACTTTTTAATTGAATTGATAATTTGCTGTTGCCACGGGCAAAAAATTATTAGCCCTTTTTTTCTAGGTAACGTTAGAGATTTATATGTGTAAATGATTTTCTATTTTTAGTTTACTTAATAACATGCCCTTAAAATTATTATTTTAGTACTTTCTTTTCTTTTTTGTTTGTTTATTTTACATCTGTTAGTTTGTTCATAAAGGAAAGTGATTGAAATTTTGTTTGGTGATAAAATAGCGATATAAAATCTGGTATAGCAGTCAAAAAACGAAGGTATTATATATTATCATCAAGCAGAAAGCGCTTCATTAAACTTTGAACTCGTTAACTATCGGGAAAATTTCAATATTTTAATTTACGATAAATTCACTTCCCAGTGATCAGGAAATAAATGGAACTATCAGACACACAGTTCCAGTAGAGATTTGAGAGCTCTAGTCAGTTGGGACATGTTTGAAATTTTAATCGATGATAAATTCCCAATGGTGATGATATAACGGTAAACTCTGCATGAAGTGGTCAAGAAACTATTGGAACTTACATTGCTATAAAAAATGGAGTTCAGAGAGCTTCAGCAGAAGTATGAGAGCTCTAGCTAGTCAGGAAAATCGTCAAACTTTCGATCGACTGCTGGAATCCACTCTTAAGAATACGAAAGCCGGTTAACATAAAACGTAGTTAAAATTGAAAGGCGGGGCTCGAAAATGCATTTTAGAATTTTAAAATTTTAATTTTGAATAAATTATTGAAAATATATCATGCAGAGGCGAGAATTTCCATGAAAACTAGCTGGATATATATATATATATATATATATATATATATATATATTTATA